TGTGGACTATTTTTTCCTATTACTCCATTCCTTCCTTTATCGTGCTTTTCCCTGTCCTCATGTTAACAGGGAGGAAGGCCTGATGGGTGGTTCAGAAGTTTCTTCAAGGCACTACCACTTACCAGTTGTTGTTTATTGTTGTTGTTAAGTGCCCTTGAGTCAATTCTGACTCGCAGCAACCTTATATAAGGTTTCCAAGGAGCAGCTGGTGGGTTTGAACTGCTAACCTTGTGGTTCACAGTCCAGTGCTGATCCTACAGTGCCACACCAGAAGTCTAGTTGTTTTTTGGTGTTGTTAAGTGCTGTCGAGTCAGTTCTGACCCATAGTGACCCTGTATAGGTTTTCCGAGGAGCAGCTGGTGAGTTTGACCTGCCGACTTTTCCATCCAGTGCATTACCCCACAGCGCCACACTAGGATTCTAATGCGTGAAGACCCCTTGGGTGTCAGAGTAGAACTCTGCTCCACAGGCTTTCATTGGAAGTAGTTTGCCGGGCCCTTTTCTCAGGGGCCTTTCAATTGGCTCAACTGTTTGCACCATCCAGGGACCCCTCATCAAGGCACTCAAATCCATACCCTTTGCTTTAGGGTTGATTCCAACTTATAGCAGAACTTCCCCATAGAATTTCCAAAAGTGTAATCTTTATGGAAGCAGACAACCACATCTTTCTCCCTGGTAGGTTTGAACTGCGACCTTTCAGGTAGCACTAAGTGCTTAACCACTGTGCCATCAGGGCCCCTTCCTCAAGGCACTACTGACTTGGAAGTTGCATTGCATGAGTCAGATAGTCCTTTGTGCTGGGCCACCTTGGCAGTCAGTGTAGTCATTGTGATTAAGATGTCTGGCTCAGAAATCAGACACCTGGGTTGGACTCTGTCTGCTATTAACCTCCTTGGGTTCCTTTTCTCCTCTGAAACTCTATCTACCACAGAGGGTCAAATGAAATAAGGCATCGAAACTCTACCTACCACAGAGGGTCAAATGAAATAAGGCATCGAAAGTGCCTAGCACATAATGCTGGGTAAATGGAACACAGTATTCTCATTATCTGACTAGGTTTTTTTCTTATGAGTTTGGTTCTAAGAATCCTTTGCAGCTGATTAAAAGAGTCCTAATTTCCCCCTTTCTCCTAATTGGGGTGTGTGGTGTGTGTGTGCTGTCACTTTGAAGATTAAGATGTGCCTGACTCAAGCTGTGGTCTCATATGTGTGCAAAAAAAGCTCAATAATGAATAAAGAAGACTGGAAAAATCTATGCATTTGAATCATGGTATTGGCAAAGAATATTGAATGTATCATGGACTACCAGAAGAACAAACAAATCTGTCTTGGAAGAAGTACAGCTAAAATGTTCCCTCAAACAGAGGATTGCAGGCTCACGATCTTTTAAGATACCAGTTGCTAAGGATCTTTTAGATCTCACTTACTTGGGGGATATTATCAGGAGGGCCCGGTCCTGGAGAAGGAGATCATGCTTGGTGAAGTCGAGGGTAAATGACAAGGAGGAAGGCCTTCAATGTGATGGATTGCCACAGTGGTGGTAACAGTAGGCTCAAGCGTAGCAATGATTGTGAGGATGTCGCAGGACCCAGCCATGGTTCATTATGTTGTATGTACGGGTTGCTATGATTTGGAACAGACTTGATACCACCTAATAATGGAGTCCTGGTGTGGCGCTGTGGGTTAATACGCCAGACTGCAAAGCCGTTTGAACGGCAAGGTAGGCGGTTCAAGCTCACTAGCTGATCCTCAGAAACCCTATACATGGTTGTTATGGGTCAGAATCGACTGGACAGCACTTAAAAATAACAACAACAGCAACAATCTGGGGTTGAGGAAGACTTTTTAAAGCACTCCCATTTTTACACCCTTCCTAAAATAGAAAGGTTTTGTTTTTGCTTTCTGAATGTCTTTTCAGATATGCTGAAGACCAAAGTTTTAAAGTGTTTTTAGGAAAGGTGACCCCAGGATAGTTTTGGTTCAACATGTAAAGAATTTCTCAGGGAGATGGTCTTACTGTTTATTAAAAAAAAGTCATTCTGAGATCATTTTTATACCTTGCTAGTCTCACTCCATAGATTCCTAGTATGGCGCTGTAGGATCAACACTGGGCTGGCTGCGCATCACATGATCTACAGTTCAAACCCACCAGCTGCTCCTTGGAAACCATATACAGGGTCTCTATGAGTTGGAACTATTAGCAGCAACTATTCTCACTTCATACTTATCATTCCTTTGACACTTAGCTAGTTTTAGATTGTAGATGATTTTCTCTTTTCACTGTTGGGTCAGAAGGGAGATATTAAATAAGGGTTAGTGGTGGTAACTTTGCATATTGGAATAGGAAACTTGACCATGAACTATTACTCAGTAGTTCTTCCTACTGCATCTTTTAAAACTCTTTTGTTGTATGTTTTTGTAAATAGGTATGAGTATTCTCCAAGGGAAGGATGACATATTTTTGGACTTGAAACAGAAATTCTGGAATACATATAAGGTAAGATGAGCTTTTGAAAATACCATCAAGATCTTTATTTTTAATATAATTTTTCCATCGGATAATGTGAATAAATATAGTCTTAAATTAGAATCCAGTTTTGGTGGGTGCAAGAGTCAGTTACTTTGGCAGTGAGATCTTAAATTTGCTTTGTTAGATGAATGAGAAGCAGCGTTAAGTGCATCTAGCTAGGTTTACCCTGGTAGCATAGTGGATTATGGGCTGTTAACTGCAAGGTCTGCAGTTCGAAACTACCAGCCGCTCCATGGAAGAAAGATGAGGCTTTCTGCTCCTGTAAAGATTTACAGCCTTGGAAACCCTATACATGGTCACTATGAGCCAGAACCGACTTGGTGACTCACAACCACCACCACCACCATCCAGGGTCACTGTAAGTCAGAATCAACTTGGTGGCAGTGGATTTGTTTGTTTGTTTCTGATGACTAGGAAAGGAATAATATCTCTGTATTTTAGTGAATTTTTACAGTGATTTCTGACTACTTTTATTATTATAATTGTGGTGGTTGTTGTTAAGTGCCATCGAATTGATGGTAACTCATAGTGACCCTGTATAGGGTTTCCTAGGAACAGCTGGTAAGGTTGAACCACTTATCCTACACCACACCAGGACTTTATCAGACTGAAGTGAATTTGATCTTACTAGTGATTTTATTTAGTGAATTTTGGAGCCAAAGAGTCTATAAGACCAAAATGGTACTAACAGAAGAAGAATGGTGTAATGGAACTGTTTGCACTTTTAGAGGCAATATTTCCAGGTGTGCATTCTGTTAAGTCTCTATGAAAGGAACCTTCTTAACTCTCACAAACATATTGACAGAGAAGGATAAGCTTTCCCAGGATTATTCCCAGGCTTTGAAGCAAGTCACCTGTTGTATTGTTTGCTCAGTACAACTATGTATGCTCCTGTCCAGTAAATATTTTTTGATGTGTTCAATGAAGATTTAATGATCTTAAGTCCCAACAAAATTGGGATTGCCTTCCATCTCTGGCCTCGAACATGGTAGATTCTTTTAATCACTGTGAGGTAAAATTTTCGGGATTCCAGAGTTTGTACAGACTGGCCCCGGGTTTCACATACACTTAATTTCATATCATAAGCAGTGCCAGACAATACCCAGTGACTCTCCACACTGTTCCTAACATCTTCTGGTGAGTGGTGCCCAGCCCCAGAACTGGCATCAGCCACATGTTGGTTGGAGACAAAGTTCAGGGAGTTTGAAGCCACTGTCTTCTCTGGATCCTCTAGACTCAAGAACAGTTCCTGTTCAAATTCTTGATACTTCCCTTGGTGCAGAAATTGTGGGCCCACGGTGACATCCGGGTGTGGCTTTCTTCTGCCTTATTTTGGCAAAGGGAGACAGTTTTTCCATTGCATCATAGCGCCTATGTAGATATATGAGAGTGCTTCAAAAAGTTCCTGGGAAAATGGAGTTAAAAAGTAATGGAATTTTCCAGTCACTTTTTGATGCCTCTTCGTATAGATCTAAGGTTTACAACAACGGGGCGGCTGTTGTTAAGTGCTGTCAAACTGGTTCCTATGCATAGCTACTCTGTATAGTGTTTCTGGGGCCTTAAATCTTTAAGGGAGCCAAAGTCTTATCTTTCTCCTGAGAATTGGCTGGTGGGCTCAAACTGCAGACCTTGTGGTTAGCAGTCCAGTGCTTATCTTAAGTAGCCACTGTGCTCCCCTGAAAAAAGAGCAAGCAAGCAAAATTTTGAAAGGGGCTGTAAGAAGGAACTTGCAGTTTTGATTCTCCCCTCCTAATGCAAACATGCAGGCTGCCTATTGGAGCAGAAACACAGGGACTTTTCGCAGAACTTTTTTAAGGCATGGTGGTTATGATAAAGTAATTTTCAGAAATGCTTAGGATCAAGAAATGGGGTACCAGCAATCTGAAGCCTAGCCCCGTGTGGAAAATTTTCCTAAAGATCTCCCATAATAAGAACGTGTCTATCACTCATTGTGGACTCCTGGTGTGGCGCTGTTGGATCAGCACTGGACTGCAAGGTCAGTTTGAACCGCAAGCTCCACAGTTCAAACTCACTAGCCAATCCTTGAAAACCCTATACAAGGTCTCTGTGGGTCAGAACCAACTCAAGGGCACTTAATCACCACCAGTACCATTGTGCTAGGCATTAGTTGCTGCTATGTGCCATTGAGTCCATTCCAACTCACAGCAACCCTTATAAGGTTTCCGCGAGTGACTGGTGGGTTTGAACCATTGACCTTGTGGCTACCAGTCCAGTGCTTATCCTACAGCACCTCACCCGGAGTTAGTGGAGGATATAAACCAAAACCAAACCCAAATCACAAAGCACAAATACTATTCTGAAGGACTTTAGAATGGAGGGGGATAGATAGACAAATGACTAGACGCATTAACTAGAAGACTTTGAGCGCTAAGTATGCACTGCAGATCTTGAACTTCAGACTAAGTTGATGGGTAGTGGCGATTAAGGGTTATTGTAACCCAGTTCAAAGAGTGCTGGTGAAGCAGTTAAGCATTTGGCTGTAACTGAAAGATGAGCAGTTGAACTCACTATTCACTTCCCAGGAGAAAGATGTGGCAGTCTGCTTCTGTCACTGCTTACAGCCTTGGAACCCGCATGAAGCCAGCTCCACTCTGTCCTGTAGGGTTGCTGTGAGTTGACATCAGCCAGACTACAGTGAGTTTGGTTTAATGGGTTTGTTCCCTAAGTTCGCTCAAGAAATAATGAAGGAGTGGGCATAGGAATGATTTGCGAACTATATAGAAGGTAGAACTGCTGGTTGTTGTTTTGTGCTGTTGAGTTGGTTCTGACTCCTAGTGACCCTGAATAGGGCTTCCAAGGAATGGCTGGTGGAAGTGGTTATTGTTGTCAAGTACCCTCAAGTGGGTTCCGACTCATAGCGACCCTGTATAGGGTTTCCAAGGAGCAGCTGGTGGATTTGAACTGCTGACATTGTGGTTTAAACCGACAATACAGTTGAATGTTTATGTGCTCTCCAGTCTGTTCTGACTCATAGTGACCCTGTATAGGGTTTCTGAGGCTGTAAATCCTTGTTGTTGGGTGTCGTCAAGTTGATTCTGACCCATAGTGACCCCGTATAGGGTTTCCAAGGAGCAGCTGGTAAGCTTGAACTGCCAATCTTGCAGTTTAGACAGCTTTGTAGTCTGGCACATTAACCCACAGCGCCACACTAGGACTCAGAAAACCTTATCTTTCTCTCATGAAGCAGCTGGAAGATTTCAACTGCTGACCTGTGTTTAGCAGCCCTTCTAGTAATTCTATATTTGTTGTTGTTGTTAAGTGCTGTCGAGTCGATCCTGACCCTTATTGACCCTGTATTGGGTTTCTGAGGAGCAACTGGTGAGCTTGAACCGCTGACCTTGCAGTTCAAACGGCTTTGAATTCTGGCGCATTAACCCACAGCACCACCCCAGGACTCCAATTCTATATTTAGATGTGGGGTAATGGTCATGTTTAGGATAACCTACAGGTTTCTGTCTTGAACAGCTGCATATTTATCGCTTGAGATAAATATGGAGGAAAGGGAGTAATTTGAGAAGAAAGATCGATGAGCTTGGTTAGGGAAATGTTGATTCCAGATGCCTTTAGGATATTCAGAGGAACCCTGGCGGTACAGTGGCTACGGGCTCAGCTGCTAATGGAAAGACACTCAGTTCCAAACCACCAGTTGCTCCCTGAGAGAAAGCTGTGGCAGTCTGCTTCCTAAAGATGACAGCCTTGGAAAGAAATCCTATGGGGTGGTTCTGCTGTGTCCCACAGGGTTGCTATGAGTCAGAACCGACTCAAGGGTAGTGGGTTAGGATATTCAAGTGAAGCTGTCAAATGCACAGGGGAGAGTTCAGAGCTAGACATGCTATATGGTAGAAATTGGGTTAAAATGCGGTTCTCCACTCAAACTTGATTAATGAAGCTACGAGGATAGAGGTTAGGAGTCAGAAGAAAAGAAACATCCAGAAGAGTCCGTCGCAAAAGGCTCCCTTATAATCCCAGAAGTAAATGAGCCTAGGTGGTGTGTTGCTGAAGAGCCAGGCCACTGCCCAATCCAAGTTCCTTTGGTTAATAAGGAGGGAGGGGAAGGAAGTATCTAGCTTGTTTTTTCTATGTAAGAAGTAGGACTTATGGTGTGGTGCTGTAGGATTAGCATTGGACAGTGAACCTCCAGGTCGGCAGTTCAAACGCACCAGCTGTTCCTGGGAAACCCTATACGGGGTCGCTATGAGTCAGAAGCGACTCTACAACACTTAAGAACAGTGAGTAGTATTTAGGCACATCTGCTGCACAAGACCTCTTTAAAGTGTTCAAGTACAGAGACGTCAGTTTGAGGACTAAGCCATGGTATTTTCAGTCTCTTCATATGCATGTGTGGAGTCCTAGTGTGATGCTGTAGGTTAAGCACTGGACTACTGACCACAAAGTTTCAGTTCAGACCCACCAGCTGCTACTTGGAAACCTTATGCAGGGTCACTATGAGTCAGAACTGACTTGATGGCAACAGCATTTGCCATGTGAGAGCTGGATGATGAATAAAAAAGCCCAAAGAAGGATTGTTGTTGTTGTTGTCAGGTGCCATCAAGTCGGAACCGACTTATAGCAACCCCATGCACAGCAGAACGAAACAATGTCCGATCCTGGGCCAACCTCACTACCGCTGCCACACTTGAGGCCATCAATGATGCCACCTGGCCAATCCATCTCGTTAGGGGTCTTCCTCTTTTTCTCTGACCCTCCACCTTACCGAGCATGACATCCGTCTCCAGCGACTGTTTCCTCCGGACAATATGTCCAAAGTATGAGAGACGAAGCTTAGCCATCCTGGCCTCCCAAGGAGCACTCTGATTGTACTTCTTCCAAAACAGATCTATTGGTTCTTTTGGCAGTCCATGGCACTTTCAGTATTCTCCTCCAACACCACAACTCAAAGGCATCAGTTCTTCTGCGATCTTCCTTATTCACTGTCCAGCTTTTGC